CATTGCAGGCTAATTATATAGTGCATAGTCCTTTAAGGATCCTAGATCCTCCCACTTTCTCATTAACTGTAGGATGAATCTTAAGGAGAAATATCTCTTCATCATTCAGCTATTCTTTATTTGATGGAAAATGTTAATTGGTAGAATGACACGAACTGCCTTCGGGACTCTAGCTCTGGATTTTGCTCTAGGTTAACTCCTGAAGCAGTTTCCATAAGTGGATATAGCCGCAAGGCAGTGGAGGTTTGAAATCAGAGTTTTTCTTCTCCTAGATGGGCTGCCTTCCATGGCTGACGAGCCCCACCTACCCGGCTTTGGTTGCAATTTTGCTAAATAAATTACACTGTGACCATGCAAAGAACTTTGCTTTGAAACTTGGGTGGCATTTCAAATCTAGTTTTTGGAGGCTTGAAAAGTGGTGTGCCTGTTGCAGCTTTGTAGCTTATGATGTTTCCCCAATTCTTCTTATGCTAAGTGATGTTTATATACATCTGGGACACTTGCATCTGTTTAGAGAGTGAAGAATGTTCTGGCCGTTATATCAAATTCTATGTGCTCTGTTGGGCATTCTTTTTAATAGGTTCACACATTATTTATTTGCATCAGCTAACACTTCCTAGTTTTCATCAGACATTACTTTCAGAGCAGTGTTCTGCCATCAGACATTATTTGCTACAAGATCCTGTGTCCTTTTGGGGAAAAGGCTGTAGAGCTAATCAGTGTACTGTTTATTAACAATTTAAGTATTTCAGACTTCTCCTTTGTGTTGCTCTGTTAAGTGTGAAGCGTGAGCTGTGTTTGGCATTGCAATACATGCCAGTTATACAAGTCTACCATTTCTCGAATGCAGCAGGACAAGTGTGGAGCTCCATACAGGTACAGAACAGCAGAAGTCTAGTGTAATGTAATCTGTCTGACCCTTAAAGGCTTGCAGGAACCAGTAAGGAAGAGCAGTATTAAGAACTGTTGAAAATAGGTGACCACTGGGTATCTGTGGTGTTTTTGTAAAATCCTAAGATGTTTCCATAAGAGCAGTAAGCACTGGGGATTCTCTGAGTTTCAGAGTATTGGCAAACTAGCTAAACATGAGTTCTTTAAAACACAGAACTTATTCAAAGTATATTCTTCAGAGAAACGAATTAAAAAAAGGGGATCTGCAGAGTGACTTCAGAGGCACATTTATTTGCAAAGTGGAAGATAGAGCTTTATGAAGTTTGTCTCTTAGGCTTTCTGTCTTGGGTTTTATTAAGTGTCTGTAGTTGTACAAAAGTAATTAAACAGTTCTTTAAAAATGCAGGACTGGTAATTCTTGATACTGCATTCTTGAATGATTTCTTGAAATGTAGATGTGTCTTTCTCTGCTGAGATATTGATAATAAAAGTAAAAATACAGAAATTCATAGTATAGTGGTTTTTCAGACTGCAGTAGCTTCTGATTATAATCTATAATGAAACTGATAGCTTCTCAACTCTTCTATGCAGCTGAACCAAAGAGAAAGGGAGAGAAGAAGAAGGAATCTACAGAGTCTTAAATGGACAATCTCAGCAAGATTTTCTGTTTGTCGCCTCAGAACAAAATGTTATTAATGTGATCTTTTAGGGAGGAATGGCTTACTAATGATCATTTGATGTGTGTCTTGATGGTGGCCACATTGGTCCTTTGTGGGCCTGATTTACACATATTCAGTGGCTTCTGAGTGTGTGTCTGTTTGCAATGCACCCCAGATCCAGAATGCCTGTGAACCATTGTGCTAATTTTATATGCAGTTGCTTCTGGGATTTGATTCCCTATAGTGTGACTGGTAGCTATGTGATGATTCAGATCGGGTTGGTTTCTCTGGAAAAGAGGAAACCTGCTATAGGTGCTATGGAAAGAGGTGTTGAATTACTGGGTTTCATCTGCAGTGAAATTGATTTTGAAATGCCTTATAATTTAGTAGTTGTGCATGAGCGACTGTGTATAGCGTCTCCCTTGGTTAATGTTTCTGCAACAAACTTATGCACAGTGTTATGGCTGTGCTAATTAGAAGTGTGTGTGTGACAGTCAGTTTCGACTATGGTATTTCTGAAAGAGCTGACCCAAGAGAATGGTCAGATGTAAGTAGTTTATACTGATAGCTTTTCTTTTTGAAAGACCCAGGTGATCTACATTTTATGTCTCTGCTCTTGTACAAGCTGTATGTGCCTGAAAAATGAATTTTACAGAATTCTAACAATTTTAAACAAGGTTTCCAAAAATATCAAAAATAAAAACAAGAGAGTGGTGGCACTTTAACTAGTAACAGGTTAATTCCAGTGTTTTTAAGGATTATCATCCATTTACTAAAATGCAGGATGGAAGGAAGCAGATTGTGATATATAATCCACCTGGCAGACATGCTTTGATTGTATTCCTGCATTGAGTAGGGGGTTGGTTGGACTTGATGGCCTTGTAGGACTCTTCCAACTTCACTTTTGTATGATTCTATGATAAATCCATTAGTCTTCAAGGTGCTACCACTTTTTTTGCTTATATTTTTGCTATACACTGACAAAATTGCTTTACATTTATGAATTTCACTCAGACTAGCTTAGAATAGGGACATGTTTTCCTTACCTCCACTCTACTACAGTATTATGGGGCAGAAGCAGAATAGCATGATCTTGAGCTTTCAAATACAGCCATGACATTCTAACTGGACATAAACAAGTTTTTTTAAAAAATGGTTTACTTTTGGAATATAAGAATCTAGTGTTCACTAACTGTTAATCTCATTAAACCCTGGTGTCAGTTTTATATGGAACAAGGGGTTGAGCAACATGTGGGGTATGGGTAGGGTTGCCAGATACATGGGTACTAAAAGGAGGACATAGAAAGACAAAAAAGAGGACAAAGGAGGACATATCGAATGTTCCATTTGAATTGTTCCAGATTAAATCCACAATCAATACGATTTTATTACAATAGTTGCCAATAAATGTCTCAGTGAACCAACCAAGAAACAGTCATGTTAAAAAATAAAAATAAATTAAATGGAGGCTCCCCCCCCCATGTTATAATAAAACATTATTTAAACAACCAATTATACCCAAACCTACCCCAGCCGGGCTGCAGGATCCCCCAGGTGCTCGCACTCTGCACATGTTCAGAGGCAACCTTGCTAATCTGGATGCCCAAACAAGGCTCCAGCTCTTGCAGGGGGAAAGTGGCATCGGGTAAAACCAAATAAGGCAGCCTCCCCTCCCCCGAGGGTCATAAGTTCGAGGCTAGGGAGTTGGAGTCCCTGAAAGGGACTTTGAACACACACAGTCTGGGCACTTGCCTTCCTGTCAATGCGCTTGGGCACTGCTTGCTCCTGCCAGGCTTGGCGGGCGGTGCTCTGCTCACACTGCCTTTCTGGGCTCCACGTGATGTGGATGGGCAAGGCAGATCGCTGAGCAGCCACCGCCGTCGCAGGAGGAGGCGAGGGAAAGACGGGGAGAGGGGGTCCTTCCACCTCTTCCCCTCCCATCCATAATTATAACATAACATATACAAAAGCTTGACATTTTAAAGGTTTTTATCTTTGCCTGCCTGATGGAGGACATTAGGCTGAAAAGGAGGACATGTCCTCCTTTTGCCTGACATCTGGCAACCCTAGGTATGGGCCACATATAAAGCCTGGGCCCCCCAGTTTTGCTTTTTAAAAATTGCTTTTGCTCAACACATTCTATTGTTTCCTTCTAGAGCAGTGGTCCCGAACCTTTTTTGGTCCGCGGACTGGCTGGGGAAGGTGAGGCACCCCCCGCGCACATGAGCATGTGCAAACGAGCTGTGCAGGAGTGAGTGCGTGCAGGAGGGAGGTCTTTCTCGGTGTCCTGGTTCAGCTTAGGCCACGGACCAACACTGGGCTGCGGACTGGGGGTTGGAGACCTCTGTTCTAGAGGATGTAGAAGACAAATTTATGTTGGGGGAGTAGATGGAAGGAAGTGCTGGGTCCCAATACCTTTTAGGGCTCTGGTAGATGAAAAGAAATACTAATTTTTTAAAAGCAACTTTTTGTTTCAGTTAACAAAAATCAGTTGTAATCATTGCAGTGTGACTACTGCATTAAATTTTTTAAAAACGCAATTGGCCTCTTTGGCCATGCCCCACAATCTTTAGTCTCTTTTAGAGTATGGCTCCTGGCAAATCTGCAAGAAGGCCCTTTGTCCTGCTGACATTTAGTGACTAATCATGCTTTAGTCACTAAATGTTAGCATTGTTGAAATGAGCAAAGACTAGAGATGGGGGTGTTCATATTTGTATGCAAATATCCCCCTACAGGTGCAGATAACGAGGGTCCAGCCCCCTGGGGCAAGACCGACCACTCACGATTCCGCCGCTGCCTTCCTGTCACTGTATTGCTCGCGATAGATTAGCCAGTCCTGGCAGAAGGCGGGATGATGAGCCTCTCTGCCAGGTTGCAGAGTGGCTAATCCATCGCAAGCAACGGAGAAATAGCAAGGCATTGTGGAGCTTGCGGCAGCATCATGTGGTCAGTCTGGCCCCAGGGGGCCGGACCCTTGTTATCTGTACCTGTGGGGGGATATTCGTATTCAAATACAAATACGCCCATATGTACCCAAGACATTCATTGCTCTCATATGTTATCTTTTTCTCTTTGGGCATGACTGTATAGAGTTGCTCAAAATATTTCAGTTCTGTTCTAGATTAGCTGCAACTTGATATGCTTTCTGAATCCTGATGAAGAGTGATTGTTTGTAACTGCAGTTTGTACATTCTAATTCATAATGGTGGTTTGTAGGAGCTACCAAACTTTAAGCTGTAGTTTATGAAGCTAGTTTACTGACTACAGTATAGTTAAACTGTGAATGGACCATTCCTCTCAGATTCTTCTGGATAATGAATGGTCAGGATAAATTTCAGCATGTAACAATGATATTGGACTATATTATATAAAGGACTGCTGAAATATAGTCCAATATCATTGTTAGCTTTATTTCAGCAGTTCTAACTTCTTCCTCTGTTTTCTTTACAGATTCTTCAACTCCTAGTTGAATCACTTTCACTTCAGCTAAGATGGCACCAGTAGTTGGAGGTCCTGTGGGATATACCCCGCCAGAAGGAGGATGGGGCTGGGCAGTAGTTGTTGGCGCCTTCATCTCCATTGGCTTTTCCTATGCATTCCCCAAATCCATTACAGTGTTCTTTAAAGAGATAGAGATCATCTTTGATGCCTCTAGCAGCAAAGTCTCTTGGATCTCTTCCATTATGCTGGCAGTTATGTATGGAGGAGGTAAGTTGCAAATAAGCTGAATGCTTTTACCACAAAATATATGGAGATTTGACTTAATTACAGTTTCTGGTCTTGTTGAAACTGGCTTTCAGGAAAAAGAACATCATTAATAGATTTTCTGTAGGTTATCTTAAAGGTGTTTCCATTTGAGGTTAAAACCTTGTAATACTCAAAATATTTTTAAATGAGGCTAATCTGTCCTGTTTCTTTGCAAAGCTGTAAATAAAATCTTTCCGGGGAATTATTACTTGCGTAATTCAGAACTTGCACTCTTTAACGTTGTTCCCTCCTAACATCATCTTCCAGAAGGCAGTTGTGAGTTAAAGCAAATTCAGGACTTTGACATCAGTTTATATAAGGAAGGAAAATGGGTCCTTATCCTTGTAAGTCAGAGAAGAATATTTTTGTTTCATGTTGACCATTAGAAATATATTAGCTCTGGAGATTGTGTACAGTTCCTTGCAGCCAGAATTGACGTGTGTGGTATGGTCATTTCCATTCTTACACTGTAATATACCCCATAATAACTAAAAACAGGAACACAATATTAAATAAATATCTCCTCCATTTGTTGCTTTTCATAATGAGACTTCATTATCATTGTTTAATCAATCATTTTCTTGGAAATTAGATTTATTTATGCTTAAATTTTACATGTCATATATGAAGGCCCAACTTTTCTTACGGTCTTAGCCATGTAAACAGAAAGTATTGCATAGCATGCTCGCTCTGCCCCCCCTCCCGGTGGTTACAGCACCTCTACTGGCTGCCAGTCCATTTCTAGGCACAGTTTAAAATATTGGTTTTAACTTGTAAAGCCTTAAATGGCTTGGGCCCAAGTTATCTCAAGAACTGTGTTGTGTTAGAATCTCAGTCCCACCTTCTCAGGTGCATTTGGTAGGGACACAGGAGATTACTTTCTCTGTTGTTGCTCCAAGACTCTGAAACTTCCTCTTATGGGAGGCTGGCCCCATCTTTGCTGTTCTTCCACAAGCTGGTGAAAACCTTTATCTTCAGGCAGACCTTTCCTTAGTGCCTGTCTGAGAGTGGCTTTTGAATTGATTGTTATGCCTTGTTGCTTTTAAATGTGTTTGAATATTGATTTTTTACAGTTTTTCGTATAGTATTTGTTTAATTCTTTTTAAATATTTCTATTTTTTTTAATGGTGTAAGTTGCCTTGGATGATTTTTAAGGAGAAAGGTGGGCTAACAAACGAACAAAATGAGCCAGGTGAGGTTGAGAGACAGACTTGTCCGATGATTCACTAGAATTGTTCCCACCCTGCTCTTCTCTGACACTTGTTCCCATAACTCATGAATTCTTACTACAGGATTTTGAACTAAAGGAAAGTGTGAACAGGTATTTATGTAATACACGGTTAACTATTTTGACATGGCACAGTAATATTTTTAAAGAATAATAAATAAATGCTATGGAGGAAGAGATGGTATGAACGTAGGTTATATTCTACCCTATTGGCTGAGATCTAGCAGTACACTACAACTAGAGCAGGCCCATTAGTAGGGAGTGGTGAGTCAGCACCTTTATAATTTCCATTAGTTCAGTTGGCCTACTCTAGGTGACTTACTGCTGGGTTTGAGTCATTGAGACTAATATGGCAGGGGCCTGGGAACCACATCACATAGTTCTGCAGACTGATTTGCTGGTTGGGAAATATATATGAACACTTTCTAATGCATTCCTTTGACATTTGCTGTTCCCATTGCATACCTGCCTTCAGAGAAGACTTTCTGTTGTTGTTTTCTTTAATCCTGTACATTTTTCAGTATATAACAAGTAGGAGGAGTGGGGGAAGGAAGTCATTGGAGGCTAATTTTCTGAAGCCGAGGTATTCATATTTGGGAATAACTGAGTTGCAGTGCTGCAGGTAAAGTTCCAAATTCCCTGGTCAATGAGCCACATAAGAGGGTGGAGCTCTTCTATCTTTTATTTTTCCCCCAAATTATCCCATTCTTTTTCAGTACTCCTCTCTGCGGTCTCCTTATTTTTATCATCTCTTCTTCTTCAGTCATTCGCCTTTGCTGTGAATCCCAAAAAACACCAGATATTCTATAATATTCAATATTCTACAATAAAAACATTACTGAAACTGTATCTGTTTGTGGTATTATACACTTATTCTTTTACTATTTTAGTTTGCATGTTTTGCTTAATTATGTAAACTGTCCCAAATAGTGTCACTAAGTTGGGTGATCTAGAAGCTCAATAACTGACTGACTGACTGACCTAATTTGCAATGTAGACGTTGAGGTGCTTTGGTGCATTGTACTGGCAAGGCCATTTATTTGTTCTTTAACTTACAAAAAGTAGAAAGAGAATGGTTGTTGTGGGTTTTTCGGGTTCTTTGGCCATGTTCTGAACGTTGTTCTTCGTGACGTTTTGCCACTCAACTATCCAACAAACAGTATGGACAGAGTTCCTACTCCAGTCTTCTGAAGATGCCGGCCACAGAGACTGGCGAAACGTCAGGAAGAACAACCTTCAGAACACGGCCAAAGAACCCGAAAAACCCACAACAACCATCAGATCCCGGCCGTGAAAGCCTTCGAGAATACATAGAAAGAGAACGTACGGATAAAACCTTCAGAATTATTGCTGACATCTTAACAGCGTAGCTACAGATCTGATGTTCGACATGAAACAAAAAGAACGGAGAGTCTGAAATGTGTGTAGGAATCATTCATGTACTAATATTAACATGTGTTTTGTCCAGAGATTTCTTAAAAACATAGAAAACAATAAAATCACCTAGGTTTGATAATAATAATGTTCTTCTACTGTTCAAAATGCTGAAATAGCTTCTAGAACTGACATTGTATAAGCAATATACCACATATAAAACAGAGCAAACTGTTTTAAAGCAAGAAAAAAAGTGAACAAAACAGTGTTATTTCACTTAAAGAATAACTATTCTTGGTGCCGGTTAGAAACTGCATAATCCCATGTTCTTATGCAATATTGAAATACATACATTAGAACGTGAATTGTAAACAATGATAGCTGCAGCCTTGTAGTTTAAATGCTTCTCTTACATTATTTCAAAGTGGGCTGTGTTACCTCCCTCATTCTATAAAGCAAAACTGTCAAGTGCCCCAAAATATAAAACCATTTGCATGCCTTTTTAATTCATCACTTAATACTGCTGCTTTCCTTTCTCCTCTTTTTGGGGGATGACCTGACATTACATCCTTGTTTAGAAACAAAACTGAATGTTTGCAGCCTTGATGCTGCTGTAATGTTGGTGGGTGAACAGCCAGACTTTATTTTGCATTTGTGCCTCAAAAGCAAGTGACGTTGGTGGGCTGAGCATGAGACATTTCCTTGGAAGGGAACAGTCTCTGCTTTGTCCTCACTCAGCTAGCAAGACTTCTGTGCTTTAGTGTTACAAGAAGCACGTAACTGTAATTGTATTAATGAGACCTCCATAATTGTTTGCTTCTAATGGCTTAGAGAATTCATTCCTTAGATATTTGCTAAAAGACATGCAAAGGAATAACTGTAAAATACTGTAAAATAAATAAATAAAATGAACTAACAATAATCATTGAGACATTGTATGTGCATGTAGCATTTAAAAAATCCTTTGGAGAAAAGCTCTTGTAATATTATGTCTGTGGTTTTGAAAGCCAATTACCCAGGTATTATACACTCACTATTATATCTTGTTACAAGCCTCTTCACATTTAGAGATAATATAAATTTTAACTCACAAAACTAGGATGCATCACCATCTTGTTATGATGTTGATTAAGCAACTAGTGCTAAATTCGATGAGGAATGTTTCTTCACACCCACCACCATCATAAAAGCATATATTTAATCAGTCAATTGATATCCTCCTGTTGTTATAAATATTATTTTATGTTGTAAGGGCAGCCTACACTACCAGTCTAAAAAAGATAATCAGAGTTGGAAAAGATGTCAAATGTCATCTAGTCCAACCTCTATTGATGCAGAAAATCCATTACTATAACAGTCCTCAGAGGTGGCCATTTAGTCTGTTGTTATAAATATGTCATACTGTCTTGAGCACAAAGGTAAAACAGTGGAAGATAAAATGGTTCTTTCATCATTTTAAAATCTTTTAAGTTGGAAACCACTTGATGGCACATAACACAACAACACATCTGTGTTATATGCGATCAAGTGGCTCCCAACGTATGGCAACCCTATGAAGTAGTGACCTCCAAAGGGTCTTGTCATCAGCAGCCCTGCTCAGTTCTGGCAAACTCAAGACTACGGTTTCCTGTATTGATTGATCTCTTATTTGGTCTTCTTGTTGTCTTGACGTTTTTTGAGCATTACTGTTTTTTTTCCAGTGACTTTTGGCTTCTCATGAATATAACAGCCTCAATTTGGCATTTTTGTTTTTAGGGCAATAAAGGTTTGGTTTAGATTTGCCTTACATTTTAAATAATTGTTTAAATTATATTTTGGCACTAGGATTATCTGAAAGTTCTTTTTCATCTTTACACCAATTTTCAGTATTATTCAGTATTCAGTATGTGATTAGTGCCACATTCTGCTCCTGGTCTTGGTTTGGCAGAGAGAATACAGTTTTTTCATCTTCAAGTTGTTTGATTTGTATATTGGTTGTCTGATGATGTCCATATGTACAGCCATCTGTTTGATTGTCTGGTTTTACTGTGTTTAGTGGTCCCAGATTGTGCGCCACAGTGCTTCATGGCGCTGCCAAAGATTTTTGAAGGGTCTGAAAAGCATTTACCCAGACATCAGAGCCCTGATGCCACAGTGGTTACTTACTCAGCTCATGAAACCACCACTTGAGCGCATAGCAACCTTTGGATCTTAGGTTATTATTACAGTATTATTAGTTTTATTTATATGCTGCATTTCTCCCAACAAGGGACCCAAAGCGGCTCACAACATGAAAATTCACACAATTTAAAAACACAGTAAGTTAAATATTAAAAGATAAATTAAACAATATATGATTTAAAATACAATTAAAAGATTAAAACATGAAAACATAAAAAAGATTAAAAATATCTGCTAAAATGGGGTTCAGGGATTCAGTTGTAATTGTTAAAAGCCTGCCTGAAGAGATGGGTCTTTAGCTTTCTTCGGAAGGATAACAGGGAAGGCACCATCCTGATCTCCTGAGGGAGAGCATTTGGTAGCCTGGGAGCTGCCACAGAGAAGACCCTCTCCCATGTCCCCATCAGCTGTGCTTGTGCTGGCAATGGGACTGAGAGGAGGGCCTCTTCTGCTGATCTTAATCGCCAAGAAGGCATATATAGATTGCTGACTTACAAGACTGTGTTCCTGGTTGCAGTTACTTCTGCACATAGGGTAAGTGAACTATGCATGGTATTGCCCATCTATCCTGCAATTTAATAAGGGCAAGGTGACATTGTTCCTTGATCCTTCTTTCTTACCTAGAATGGTTTCTGGCTTTCACCTAAAGCAGCCCTTGGTGCTTCCTACCTTGGAGTTGGAAAAGTCACTCCACACTTTGGATGTCCACAAATCATTAGCCTTCCGAACGAGAACAGGAGACTTCTGAAAGTCTACTAGACTTTTTCTCACTTACCAAGGATCAAAGAAGGGTGGACATGTCACATCTCAGAGATTGTCTAAATCAGGCTTGTCCAGCCCGCGGGCCACATGCGGCCCAGGTCAGCTCATAATGCGGCCCAGTGCAATTTTTTATTTTTAAAGAAATTCCAAAGTTTCAAGTTACAATGCCAGCGCTTGCGGCCAGAATACATCACAATGGTGTGGGGGAGGGGGAGAGAGAGGGAAGGAAGGAAGGAGCAGGAGGGGAGGGGAGAGGGGGCTGTATGACTGTATTGCACTGTGCCCGTCAATAGGTGGACCCCCTCCCAGCCCCATAAGCTGCCTTCAGTGGTGCCTCGCAAGATGAAAATAATTCGTTCCGCGAGACCTTCTGTCTTGCGAAATTTTCGTCTTGCGAAGCAAGTTTTCTCATAGGAATGCATTGAAATTTAATTAATGCATTCTTATGGGATTTTTTTTTAAAAAAAGTCACTTACCAGGTAGGGAGCTGGGGAAGAACCATTGGAGGACTGGTGCGGGTCCCCTGCAACCATGATCACTGCTTTCAGAGGTCCACCAGCAGTCTTCTGATGGTGCTGGGCAAGCCTTCCCCAGCCCATTTTTGAACTTCCCGCCCTTTTCCCCTGCATTTTTCCTTTCGGAGGTTTGCCGAGCACCATCGGAGGCCTCCAAAAGGAAAAAGGCAGGGGAAAAGGGCGGGAAGTTCAAAAATGGGCTGGGGAAGGCTTCAGAGGCTTGCCCAGCTCAGTCGGAGGACTGCCGTGGGACCTCTGAAAGCGGCAATCATGGTTGCGGAGGACCCCGCCAGTCCTTCGATGGTGCTTCCCCAGCTCTATCTTTGTCTTGTGGGGCACCAAAAAAACTTGCAAGACACTTTCATCTTGTGAGTTTTTCGTTGCCCGAGGCATTCGTCTTGCGAGGTACCATTGTAAATAGAATGAAAATGTCTCTGATCTATATATTCTTTGGTATAGCTGCATTCTTCAGAGGATAGTGGCAGAAAAACCTCCACTACAGTATTCTTTGTAAAGAAATAGTTAAGCAATCTAAGACACAAATTAGTAGTTATAAAAGAGAATGGTAAAAACCAGATTTGACCTCAATACAATACAACCCCGAGGCCAGGGTAACGTTACTAAGGAATCAAACTGTTCTTAGGGATTTTGGTTATTATTGAACTAAGAAATAGGAATACTTTGCTTGAAAGTCTGTTTTTTAGAGTGTATTAAATTTCTGTATGCAAAGAAAGATTCTTGTCTTTCTGTTTCCAGTAGCCTGTGACTCAGGCTAAGTTCATACTCATGAATTTGTAACCAGCCAAAAACCATACCAAGCATTTGATAATTTTCTCTGTGTATAGCTACAGATGTTGTTTCTTGGGCACTAATGGATGTTGGAAAAAAAATCCATCAAAAAACTTTCTCCAAATGATTGGATTCTCTAATGAGAGTGCTTGCTATGTTTAATGTTGGTCTAGGTGCCATATTTTACAAGTTTTATGTTTACTGTCAATTTTCCCACAGGTAAAAGGCAATATACTGTTCTGTTGTGACAACTGATATGCTGTCTTTGGGGAATGAGAAATCTATTCTAGAATCTCATGGAGAAAATGATTTCCAATAGCAACGCTTGTCTATATTGCTAAAACACCCTGATAAAAATAGTTTGTTACTGAATTGATCATTGTTGTTGTTGTGTGCTGTCATGTTGCCTTTGACTTATGGTAGTCCTATGAATGAGCAGTCTTCAAAATGTCCTGTCTTCAACAGCCCTGCTCAGCTGTTGCGAACTCAAGCCTGTCAGTTGTGCTCTTATTTGGCCTTCCTCTTTTCCTGCTGTCTTCCACTTTCCCCTACATTATTATGGTCCTTTCCAGAGAATCCTGTATTCTTATGATGTGCCCAAAGTAGAAGAGCCTCAGTTTCAAGATCCTTGCCTCCAGAGGACCCACTTGTTTATTTTTCTGGCAATCTAGGGTATCTGTAAAGCACCGCATTTCAAACAAATCTGTTTTTTTCCCCTGTCAGCTGTCTTTACTCTCCAATTTTCACACCTGTACATAGTGATTAGAAATACAAGAGTATGGATTATCTTGGTCTTAGTCTCCAGGGGCATATTCTTACACTTGATCTTTTCTAATTCTTTCTTTGTTGCCCTTATGAGTGCTGCCTCACTCTTCCAGTTGGCCAGTTTCTCCTGCTCAGTTATCTAGGTTAAAAGGTCACCACGTAGCTTGTGTTGACAACTTGCTGTCAGTTAATGGAGAAACCAGAAATCACTTAATATGGAGAGCATGCCAATTTGGTTTTATTTAAACAGGCTTTAGACTTTGTAGAACATTCCGTCTGTCCTTAAACACTATTTGCTTTGGAGTTAAGGTATTTCCTTCTTTAGTAAAGTATTTTAAATACTTCCATATAGATAAATTAGAATCAAATCTAGAGGTGAGTTGAATTGTGATTACTGCCACTGAGTTGCCATGAGTAGAATATGTATATAATATAAAATAGGTGGTACCTATTTATCTACATGCATTTGCATGCTTTCAAACTGCTAGGTTGGCAGGAACTGGGACAAGCGACGGGAGTTCATTCTGTTGCATGGATTCGATATTACGTCTGCTGGTCTTCTGACCTTGCAGCACAGAGGCTTCTGCGGTTTAACCCACAGCGCCACCATGTCCCTCTTAATATAAAATGAACTCCCTGTTTAATGCAGGGTTAAAATTATTTTGTCTCTTTTGATCCCTGTCAAACTGCTGGAATTTATAGAACTACTGTACCATGAAAAGCAGAATCACACATTTAATCTATCTTGAGAACTTCAAACCCTTTTACAGATTCAAAATTCCCACTACTGCTGGATATTCTAATTGGCTGCTGAAAGCCCTTGCAACATTATTGGATGAAAAATTTCCCAAGTGGCCTGAGGGACAAAAGGGTGAAAAGATTATTCGAAAGAGGGAACATTTTATGTATCCCTCTTTCATAAGTACAAGTCACTTGTGTTTTAGAGGCTTGTCTTTTGGCAGTTGCTGAAAGAAGAGCCTCTGAAATATGAGTTGTGAAAAGAACATGAATTATATAAAAGAGAACACCTTTTGTCTTTTAGCTCTTTGTTTGTTTGTTTGTTTAGATACCAATACAGTAGTTCATCCTTATTGTCCACAAAGTCGGGTGTTCAATTCTTTCTACTTGACTTTCTCCTTTTCAGCTCAATCTCCCCATAACGTGTATCCTATGCCATTTGTCAGGTCACCCAGGGGAAATAGTAGTTCTTAGAGTTTAGTGCAACATGTGAAATGGCAACATATAAACTAGTTAAACCTCAGCATATGATGATTCCAGTAAAATGTCCAGCCTTCAAAAGTTCATGGTTTACTTTTGAATGTGAAGAAAATGAATAAAATGCGAAGGTTTTCTTATCTGGATTTTTTCTTTTCTTTTTTGTCTCCTAGGTCCCATCAGCAGCATCCTGGTGAATAAATATGGCAGCCGGCCAGTCATGATTGCAGGGGGCTGTCTGTCAGGGTGTGGTTTGATTGCAGCCTCTTTCTGTAATACTGTGGAGGAGCTTTACTTTTGCGTTGGGGTTGTAGGAGGTGAGTGATGCAACTATAGAATGTTTTCTTCTTCCTGGTAGATCTTTATAAACACCACTCTTTTAAAGGGATTATAATGGATCTGATCATGATAGGAAAAAGCTATAGTTCATGGCAGGGGGTGGTGGTAAATAAATGTACTGTATGTATCACAGCATGTAGAACTGTAATAAGATATTGTGTTAATGAGATTGTTAGATATGGGAAGTAGCAGAGAAAATAATAGAAATTGTGTAGACTTTCAGAGAGCAAGGCAGCTGTCTCCTTGGACTGAGGATGGGAGCTGGGTCTCCCTGGCTTAATCTCCTAGATCTGAGTTTATGTGGTTTTAGCTGCCTTGTATTTAATATTATCCTGTTGTTTTTTCTGTATTGACCTGTTTAAATTTGTTGTTGGCCTAAGAACATTTCATAGTTACACATTACACTATGAACATTTTAAAAAGGCATGTGTCTCTTCCATCAGGAAATAAAGAGGTTACTCAGAGGTCTGGGCATTTCTGTATCTCTGTTTTAGCTCTGCCCACAGTGCTAAGCAAGAAAAATACAAGCATTACTTTCAGCCCAATTCTTTGGGAGATTTAAGTGTCATTCCAGAGATAGAGATACCTCTGTAAGGATTTCCCATATGTTAATGGGAAAGTCCTCTTTCTGGAAGCAGAAGCCATGACTTCCAGCAACTGAGTTCTAACCCCTTCCATTTCTTTGAACAGTGGACTGTAATCGTAATGACATCACTGTTTCTGACCTTGTAGGTACCCTTCCTGGAACATAGGAGGGATTCTTGTTAGGTAATCATCATCCTCACTTTCATTCAGAGTGTTAGATACTCCATTATTTAGTATGACTGTTCTTTGTTTTTGGAAACATTATGAATCTCGAAACAACTAAAACTGCATTGCAAAATATCAGTTCCATTCCAATCCATTGTTTCCTGATCACCAAGTTCATAAAAGTTCATAAATGTGTTCTAGGTTCAGCATTTAATCACTCTTCCTCAACAGCTCCAAAGTTAGATAGTGAATATTTTAGTCACACTGAGAGTATGACTCACTTCCTTTTGCTAGGGTTATGCTCTCAATTTTTTTATGCATGTATGAATCTGTTATCGAAAGCAATTAGTTTTCACAGGGGTAGCCACATTACTTTGATTTTGCAGCAGCAAAAGCAAAACAAAAGCAAAAACATACCTTTGAACTAAATAAATTTATTTCAGTGTGAACACTGGTAGACTGCAATTCAATTCTTCAAACACACACAAAAAGTGGATGTGTGTGAAGAAGGGGGTTGAAATCCATGGAAGTTCACACTGAAATAATCATATTGGCCTCAAGGGTACCACATTATTTTTTGCTTTTATTTTCGTTTTGTTTTTGTTGTTGCTAAAGTGGACAGTTTATGAAAACACAATTCTAGTAGCCTTAATTTAATAATATGTTTACTTCTATTTCCAGGTCTTGGACTCGCATTTAATTTAAATCCAGCTTTGACCATGATTGGCAAGTATTTCTACAAGAAACGTCCATTGGCTAATGGTTTAGCTATGGCAGGCAGCCCTGTGTTCTTGTCTACACTGGCTCCTTTGAACCAATATTTTTATGGAATTTTTGGTTGGAGAGGAAGCTTCCTAATTCTTGGGGGCCTGTTGCTGAACTGTTGTGTTGCTGGGTCTCTGATGCGACCAATAGGTCCCAAGCCAGACCAGCTGAAGAAAGAAGTTAATAAGGAAGCATTGCAAGAAACTGGGAAAGTAGTGAGGAAAGAAGAAGGAGCAGGAGATGTCAGTGCAGACCTCATTGCTGGGAAGACTAAGAAGGAGAAATCCACAGCCCTCCAGACTATTAACAAATTCTTGGATTTGTCTCTTTTCACACATCGTGGCTTCTTACTTTACCTGTTTGGCAACGTGGTCATGTTTTTTGGACTGTTCACTCCATTAGTCTTTCTCAGTAACTATGGAAAAAGCATGCATTTTTCTAAAGAATCTTCTGCCTTCCTATTGTCAATTTTGGCCTTTGTAGATATGGTTGCAAGGCCATCTATGGGCTTAGTAGCAAATACCAAGTGGGTGAGACCCAGAGTCCAGTATTTTTTTGCTGTGTCCGTAATCTATAATGGAGTGTGTCACCTTCTGGCTCCTTTGTCAACCAGCTATGCCGGCTTCTGTGTCTATGCTGGCTTCTTTGGATTTGCATTTGGCTGGCTCAGCTCTGTCTTGTTTGAAACACTGATGGATTTAGTTGGTTCTCAACGGTTCTCCAGTGCTGTTGGTTTGGTGACTATCGTGGAATGTTGCCCTGTGCTTTTGGGACCACCTCTCCTAGGTAAAGTATTTTCTATATTTGTCTTGGTGGGGAAGGAGGATGTGTAGTTTTTATATGCCATATGGTGGTGGTGGGCAATTACCACGTTTCCCCACAAATAAGACAGGGTCTTATATTAACTTTTACTTCAAAAAATGCATCAGGGCTTATTTTCAGGAGATGCTTTTTTTTTTCCATGTACAACAGTCTTCATTTATTCAAATACAGCCATGTCATCTTCGGGTTGCTGCACAATGGTGGAGGGCGGGGTTTCACTTAACTGAGGCTTATTTGGGGGGTAGAGCTTATATTATGAGCATCCTGAAAAATCATACAAGGACTTATTTTCAGGTTTAGGTCTTATTTTCGGGAAAACGGTATGTCGCTTTTAGCACTGTGCAAATGTCAGAAAATCTGTCTTACCAGCTTGTGGTACAGCTGTACTATACTACTACGTTAAGGCTGACCCATCATGCCACTTGTATAAAACAGTGTTATGAATTAGCATCTCTTTTTAAATAGTTTAAAAGTATGAGGAGATGGCTACCAAACTTCTTGGTATTAAGCTGAATGTTTCCATGTCTAGCTATTATTAATTTTGGTTATTAAAAAGAAGACAGTCTTTTCATAATGAATCTTTTCTCTATTAGGTAAACTCAACGACGTGTACGGTGACTACAAATATACCTATTGGGCATGCGGCATTATCCTGATTGTCTCTGGAATCTTCCTGTTTATTGGGATGGGCATCAACTATCGGCTGTTGGCAAAAGAGCAGAAGGCTGATAATAAGCAGAAGGCTGAGGGGAAAGAAGAAGAAACTAATGTTGATGAAGCTGAAAAACAAAAGGAGCCTAGCAATGATGTGGCAAATCTGCCTCCAAAAACCACAGAAGATGGTATAAAAGAGGAAGATAGCCATATGTGAGGAACTGGTATCTTAAATCTAGGAGGGTATAACTTTTGTCAGCATGGGTGGGGAAAACACTGCTGGTAGTGAACAGTGGTGAAAGGTTCGTAAATCAGGTGATCTTAAAATATACACATACATGAAGCTGCAAAATATCTTTTTTTTTTTTTTTTTTTNNATTTGAAAGGAGTGACAGCTCCACGGGCAGTGCCATCTTTTTATTGAGGGCTGGATGGGGAGGGAGGGAGGGAGGGAATTTTTTTGTATTCTGCTTTTTTTAACAGTAATGTGAATGTACTAATATGTGCCTTAGAGCTTCCACATTTAGGCTATTCTGGCAAAGCCTTAACTCCATTCTACAAACTGTTCTTCTTGCAGGTTTGTAGTCTACCTAGCCTATATCTGTAAACGATATCTGAGTACTTTTATTCAGTAGGTTTCAAGCATGGGTGTTACATGAACAGTATTTCACACGCTCCTAAAATCTTACTTGTGTAGAAGTACAGTATATTTGGAGCACAGATGAGGAAAATGTTGGTGAGTCTTTAATAAATAGTATCGCAGCCCTAATGTTTTGGATGCCATTTTCAAGCCACCTTGTTTGGGTTTCTAATAGCTTTTAAAAACATTTTTAACTGTTGTGGGGTTTCTTTCTTTGTTGTAATACCTTGGTTAAAATTGTGCCCCCCAAATAGGACAAATATGCAGGCATATTGCATGTACTGTCTTCATTAGACTTAATGTGGAGCTTAGCCTACTTCTTTGTCATCTTTTTCCCCCTGTTTCTCATCATTTGGTGAGTAATATATACTATCTTGAATAACAATTACAAAATTAAAGAGTCATCAGTGGAAGAGAATGAGCAGATAATCTAGTCCATGCCTTTAATATGATTGGAAGAATCTAAATATGTACTGTTTCCATCATCTGTCCTACATGTCTGTGCCTGAATTTATTATTTGGAATTGAAAGAGTAAAGTTGTTAAACTAAAACAATGTTGCTTGGGAAGTGTCATTGAAATCAGTGCAGCCTACACTTGAGGAAGCAGATTTGGGAACAGACTTGTACTTTGCATCATTGCCAGTTATGCTGGTATTATGATCTCTCTGCCTCTTATCAACTTCAGTGCTTCCTAAGGGATGCAATTTCATTTTTTTAAAACTTTCTTCAAGGTATTGATTTGTGTAGGGAAAACCTAATCTGCTGCCCAGTTTTATATACAGTAAGTAGTGCCTAGAGTACACTGTATTTTAACAATAGTGGTTCTTTCTAACCTGTGCTCGGAATAGCTTTGTTGAAGAGTGATATAGCTCAGAATCAGATACTTTTTTGTTTTCAGTTCTTTGAGCTTTCTGTTTTGGACCCTTTTCTAAACAAGCTCACATATCTGTGCAGCTGCAAGATACTTTACTAGTAAAAGGTGGGGAAATTCTTTCTATTTATTCTTTTATTAGTATTGGTGAATATTCCACTTCATATGGGAGAATAAGCAAAGAACATTTTTTTCCTCACAGGCCAATTCTGTTGGAAGTTAATAATTGTGTAAGATGCTGACTTTTTAAAATAAAAATACTTACTTAATGCACCCACAAACTGAAGATTTTCCCTCCTACATAAACTATTTTTTATCATATTTAACTTTCACAGCCACATTCCAAAGTACAAGAGTATGTTGATGCATGTATAACTTATGGGCTTTCTTGTGATGAAATAGACACAAACAAGCCCTTTGAAGTCATGTACCAATTAAGACATGATACAATGATTACGCTAAACCTAGAAAAACTCGCAGGCTGCAAGAGAGTAATTGACAGAATTGAGTCAGGTCTTCTTTGACCTGTACACAATGATCACTTATGAATGGTGTGTGTTAATATGACTGCTAAAGAGAAGAGTACCAGATATCTTTAATAAAGTAAATTATTTTAAATCCAGACGCCCATGTTCTATAATAGTAGACTGGAGACAGGAAGAAGAGGTGTCAAGACTGCTGTTTTTTGTGGGAGCCACATGTTAAATGGACTATCTAGATCTGGCAATGGGTAGAGGACGTGACATGCTGCGATGCTGGATTTCTTTTTTTTTTAAATTTATAAATGTTAAAATTTGCCTGTTATTTGCCATTGATGATGTGGAAATGTAAATCTAGACTGATATGAGTGTGATAGCGCAGTAATGTCTTCTAATCCATGTTTTATTTTTCTGAATACTTTTTCATCTCAGACAGTGGCTGATAAAACACAAATGGCTGTTCTTAATGGCATGAAAAGTTGGAGATGTTTTTAATACAAAGGCTTTAATACTGAATATTTGTATTGTCTTTGTTTCTCTCTTTCTTGCTCTCTCGGGTTATGGCTTTTAATGATATTTGCATAGGAACCTCCTGTATGTTTGGCGGTGGTTCCCCCCTTTTCTTTTAGGGATTTAGCAGCATACTGGGGCACAGGAAGTTCCTCTGCAGATACAGTTTTATTCTAGCTAAAAGAAGATTTGTTGTGGCTCATCAGTTTCGCACACCGACATTTTCAGTCCCCTGCAGGCTGTGTGGCCAATGACGTTTCCATCATAGCTTCCTTCTGAAATTCAGGATGTTCATGAAGCCCCACATGCCATGCTATGTAAACAGCTTTGGATTGTGTGGGGCACGTGAAAAGTGAAGAGAGATGATATTTGTAGCATGTGGGTTTTGATATGAGCGATCTGTAGACTCTAGTAGAAAAATAATGAACAGAAATATAGTGCATAGTGATCTGATCATGGATGTTGCTGCAAACTGTGGCTAATAAATATCGGTAAAAATAGTTATTAGTCATTCATTCCCCACAAGAAATTGCTGCAGACACATCCTTAGGCTGTACTCATACCATGGTTTTAGTCCAGAGATGGGCAGCAGATTCTGGCCTGATCTCAGTATCTTCAGATGCTCTCTGCTAATGAACAGGTCAGTCTTAGTGAGGAAGGAGAATAGAGAAGAGGCAAAAAGAGAGAAAAGAAACTAGTAGAAAGAGTCATGGTGTTGGGAAGAGGGGAAAAGAGTGGACTTATCTTGTTTGGCTCAGCCGTGTCCAGTGTTGTTATCAGTCTCACCACCTCTGACATATGGAACCTGATAGATTGGCCCGGAAGGAATATAGTCCTCAACAAGGGGGGGAAAAAGCCCACCCTTGCTTTAACCTCTTGTCCCCATGGCATCTTTAAAGGATTATCATCCAATAAATTTAAACAAATTGCTTTCCTTCTTTGTATAACCCACAACTTCTAATAAAGATAAATCCCTTTTCCTTGAGACAATTTGCCTCGTCAAATTCATGTTAAAGAGATTTCTAACAATTTTGCAGAAACTGGTCTGCTTATTACAGTATGTCATGCAGTTGAGAGTGCTGGGTAGCAAGCCCCTACTTTAGGTTTCTAGAAATAAAGCTAAAGAAGTTAAAATTACAGTTTCCATTTCCCCACCCATGTAGATTCCCAGTGACCTTTCCTGTGTTTAACAAAGTTTTGGGAAATCCCTTGACAGTATTACACAATGCACTGTTAAATTCTCTACTCTTTTATTGGCTGCTGAGTTAGTTTATTGGATTTTTTTTTTAAAAAAAGCACGTTATAATTGCATTCTGCTCTAAACTTGTACAAAAAGGAACAGGTCAGGGTATTTTCATATTTTAGAAAACGTTTATAAAGCCAATAGAGTATTTTGTATAAACAAATTTTATTGTACTGTACTGAGCTGTTATATTGTAAAACCAAGTTGTTATATGTTCTGGCATTTCATGTGTCATGAGATCGTAATAACTGGTTCCCACTGCAATAAACTAACCTTGAAAAGCTTCCAGTCTGGTCCATGTTCTTCTAAGTACAAGTAATTATGAAGATAACAGCTGCATCTTTATGGATTTGGTCTAACTCCATATCTACTATGAGACACTGTAGCCACATTACCCTTTTGAAATACTGAGAAGTGGGGTGAAAATGGTAGAATAAAATAAATGAATAATAATAAATAAAATATTCATAAGGTAGGGAATATCCTGGAATCCAGAGACATTTTTGCTCCCACTGCTTGTTTTGGCTTCTAGAATTATTTCCTTTGCTCAGTCTTACAGATATTTCCCTTTTAACTTTTTACGATGGTAGATGTAGATGTTTGTTTTGAAGTGAATGGTCTGTGTATTCAGTTCCCAAAAAACGGACCAATTCTGAGCGCAGGTATGGTTCAGTAGTGGATTTTGAACTAAATGTGTGGTTCTAAACATTGGGTAACCCAGGTTGTCTTGGACTGCAATTCCCAGAAGCCTTCACCACCAGCTGTGCTGGCCAGCGTTTCTGGAAGTTGCAGTCCAAGAAAATCTAAGTGACCAGAGTTTAGGAATCAGTGAACTAAATAATGCTGGTCTGAAGTGCTACTGAGATAGTAATTCATTTTTGCCTTTATTCCTGTTTTATAATACTGGGATAACAGTAGTGTGAATAGCAGGACTCCATTTATTGTACAACATCCTGTACAAGGAGGGTTCTGCGTCAGAGCCTGATCTTCTGCTTTGCAGTTTATGGAAAAACTACACTGTGCTGGCAGAAAAAAGCCCTTGTTTACTTGTTCCATTGTTGGAATTGGCACCACCTCAGTGGAGATTACTAATCTGTCAGTTAAACTTTGGGAAAAAATATTCTATAGGAACACTGGGGTGGAAAAAAGACCAGGAATGGTTTCAAAGCAGAACAGTTGCCTTCTGGAGCTACATCCTAAGAGAATCAAAGGCAAAGCATTGGAATTGGGCTTTTGATGTACTGTTGTGTTGGCAGCTAGGAATTTTAACAAAAAGATTTGTCTTTCAGGCAAGATGGAGCTGCCAGATGGTGGCTATTTCATACACAAGGAATATTGTCTCATCTCTTGGGGTACAAGGCATAGCCTGTGCCATAGCTGATACAGCAGAAGATAAAGGTGTGTCTAATCAACATTGTTCCTAGTCAGCTCCCTGTGTTTAATGTGTCAAGGATGACACGGGGAATTCCCCCCCCCATTAACATTTCATACATTAATAGCTCTTGTAACTGTTCCCACAAAAAGTAGGAATTTTGTTTGTGCTTATATTGGTGTAATTTGTCCCGAGATGGACTGTCCCTCTTAATTTCTTCAACACACAATTTTGACTTTTTCTTCACTCTGGG